AAAAAAAAAAAAAAATGTGGTCTACAAAAAGCCTTGTTAACTTGCAAGTATTCCTCACGCTATTCCCAGGGCCAAGCCCCTACAATAAATAAAACCATTAGCAATAACTGGCCCCACTTTATAAAGAAACTAATTTTCTTTTCTTTTTTCTTTTTTTTTTTGAGTCAGAGTCTCACTATGTCACCCTTGATAGAGTGCCATGGTGTCACAGCTCACAGCAACCTCCAACTTTTGGGCTTACCCGATTCTCTTGCCTCAGCCTCCCAAGAAGCTGGGACTACAGGTGCCCACCACAACACCCGGCTATTTTTTTTTGGTTGTAATTGTCATTGTTGTTTGGCAGGCCCGGGCTGGGTTCAAACCCACCAGCTCTGGTATTTGTGGCTGGCGCCCTAGCCGCTGAGCTACAGGTGCCGAGCCAAGAATCTAATTTTCTAATAAGAAAACATAGAAAGACAGACTATATATCCATGATTCAGGAGAGAGTTGACACAGACCAAGTATCTATGTTGGGGGAGAGAGCACATAGATCATATGTTCACAAACAGATGCAATGTAAATAGTCAAGGTGGCCAGAAAGTATTTCTTACCTGAGTATCCAAAGGAAATACTGGAGATGGGGCTCAGGTAGATGCCTTTGCCATAGGCTGCTCCATGCAGCTTGCAGGGAAACACCAGGATGAGCAATATGAGCCTGGGCTCTCCAATGGCTATATATTAGGCATCCGCAAGGCTTACCAAGCCCTTTGTCCCTCCATCTACCTTCTCATTCATTCAAAAAACTCTAAGCACCTACTCTTGAAAAACTGACTCACTTAGAAATGGGCAGATATACCCATTTACCTATGAAATATCAGATAACATTGCCTTAGAGAGGGGGGAGTGGCAAAGCCACTGGATCAGTCCTTCAGAATCCATAAGCTTATCCTCACACCTTGTATGTCCAGGTTCAAAAAGGAGGTACTATAGAATAGGTAGCCACAGGAGAGACAATATCCATTCCCTGGAGTCTCTCAGGGCAAAGAAACAAGTCTCCTACATCAACTCTTTAAATGAATAGCCACATAAATTGAAATGCTTTAATAGGTTGATTTATCATAGCAACTGCAATCAGCAATTTCATATTCCTGCCTATAGGTACACTCTCATTCCCAAACCACCAAAGGCATAGCCTGAGATCAAATATACAACAGCCACATTCACTCTGTATGTATAATTCCAACTTCTTCTTTAAGGAAGCCTCCAAGACAGGCTCAGCTTGCGCACACTGAGGCAAAAATAGGTGAGTAATCTAGAGTAGTCTATCCCAAAACAGTGTGGGGCAAGGTGGGGGTACAGAGAAAGAAAGGGGTACAGCCTCACCTGCAGTTTGGTGTAGGATGCATTGACCAGCCCATTGCGCAGGATCGAATGCCAGTTCTCAATGTGGGATCCACTGTAAGGCAGGGTAGAAAATACATCTCCTCATGGTATGAGGTTCCCCGGAGCACTTCCGGGGACTGCCATTCCTACCCATTCGTACCCACGTAGGACATGGAGATGGACAGACACTTAGGCATGAACAAATACATGGGTAGTCACAGGAATGCAAGATTTGTGTGTGTGTGGTTATACCCTACATCTTTACTTCCAGTTCCAAGCTCTCTTCTGTGCTTCAAGTAATTCCATCCTAAATACTCAACTGCTGGTTCAGTATTTTTTTTTTTTTTTGCCTATTCTTCTGATACTTGAAGTTCAACAAATTCATCTCAAATTCAACAAACTTATTAGCACTGATCCCAAATATGGCTTCCAATTCTGACTTCACGTTCTATCTTAAGAAAAGGGTACTACCACTCCAAGTTACTTTTACTACCTCTTTCTTTCTCTCACCATCTTACAATTAGGCCTACATTGCAGATTTTCTTTCAAAATAACTTTTAAATCTATACCCTCCAATCTGTTCCTTTAACCACACCCTTTTATATGTAAATGTTATTTCTCTTCAATTACATCATTAAGTCATTTAAGAATAAAGACATCATATGTATCTTTTTATCCTGCATATCACCTACCACAATAGCACTTAATAAATATTTACTGAGACCAGTTAATGGACACAGGTAACACAAACTCATGTACCTCAAGGGCACTCTTCCCACACCCCTCCCCTAATGCCCAGCCCCCAGCCTCCTCACTGGAAGGCAAAGGTGCTGCCGTAGAGCTTCTTGGCGGTCCGAAATCGAGCCTCCTTGGCAGGAGGGCTGCTCAGCAGGAGGAACTGGTGTGAGGTGTGCATGAACTTCAGCTGCTGCCCAGGGTGGGGGTGGGATCAGGAAAACAGAACAGAAACTGAGATCAGGGAGAGAAGGGTTAGGGATAGGGAAAACATCAGGCTGACCCCACCCAAGAGAAACATGCTAAGCCCCAAACCCTGTGTTGATGGACAGAGCTAGCTAGGCAGATCTAGGAGCAATATGGCTGACTTACAGCCCTCCCTGCCCCTCAGTAGAACTTTAAGAGTTTAGAGGGAAAATGGTCACTTACCCTGCTGAGAGGTAGTTTGACAATGTGTGACCTGTTGCTAGAAATGATCCTGGAAGAAACAGAGAAAAAAACGATAGGACAGAAAAAGTTTAAGTAACTATGTGAAAAATAGAGACATACATGGTTGGACGCTTAACACAGCTCTTATATATATACATTAACTATGTCATTAGGCTATCTTCAAACAGGCAGCCTTCCTCTGCCCTTGGATTAGAGAATAAGCAGGGATTCCTGAGCTGGTGAAATGTCCAGGTCACTATTTGGATACTCCTTTTGGGTAATAATACTTGTGTACAAAAACATAAAAAAGCTACTCACTAGAGACCAGCTAGCTGTTGGAGAATTAACAGCAGATGAAAGAGGTTGGGCAAGGTGGCTCACACCTATAATCCTAGCACTCTGGGAGGCTGAGATGGGTGGAATGTTTGAGCTCAGTAGTTCAAGACCAGCCTGAGCAAGAGTGAGATTCCATTTCTCCTAAAAGCAGAAAAACTAGCTGAACATTGTAGTGGATGCCTGTATTCTCAGTTACTTCAAGAGGCTGAGGTGGGAGGATCACTTGAGCCCAGGGATTTGACATTACTGTGAGCTATGACACCATAGCACTTTATCCAGAGTGACAGAATAAAAATCTGTCTCAAAAAAAAAAAGAAAAAGAAAGAAAGGAATGAGAGATGGGCTCCTACATTTAGGGAGAGAAAATGATAGAGCTAAAGGAAGAACACACGACATCACCTACAACAATGACAACAAAAAATAATAGAAGTCTAAATTAGGATAGTGACAATTTTTACCAAGATTTGGACTGAGACTCAGAAATGGGGATCAGAAGCCATCCTGCCTGAGCTCAGAAGAATCCTAAAGGCTCTCAAGGATGGGAGGAATGTAGGAAAAAATAATAACTAGGCTGGAGAAAGAAACAAAAGGAATTACAGTGACTGTCCTGAGGAGTCAGAAACAGATTAGACTATATATGGGCTAAATTTGGAGGACAGGAGAAAACACAGGCAGAAAACATTTGAGGGCTCAGAAAGAGAGCACTATCTCCCACAGTGGACACAGTTCAGTTTTTTTTTTTGAGACGGAGCCTCAAGCTATCCCCCTGGGTAGAGTATCATGGAATCACGCTCACAGCAACCTCCAACTCCTGGGCTCAAGCAAGTCTCCCGCCTCAGCCTCCCAAGTAGCTGGGTCTACAGGCACCTGCCACACCTGGCCGTTTTTTTTTTTTTGGTTGCAGCCATCATTGTTGTTTGGCGGGTCCGGGCTGGGGATTCGAACCCGCCACCTTAGGTGTATGTGGCTGGCGCCTTAGCCGCTTGAGCCACAGGCGCCGAGCCACACAGTTCAGTTTTTTAATGCCTCATCCGTGTACTTGTGATGCACTCTGAATGGTCTATGCCCCGTTATTCTTCAGGCTAAGAAGGAAGAAGCTATTGCGCTGAGGAATTAATCATGTCAAAGCCTGACTAGGAAGAGAGAGGAAGGCTAGAAGGAGAAAGCTATGTCAGGAAAACAGAAAAGAAGTCAAAGTCAGGAAGGGAGGATAGTAGAACACTCAGAACCTTTGTTTGCCTCAAGGCTCTGGACATTCTACATGATCCAGAAAGGCCCTAACACAGAGAAAGGGGATAGCAGGGTAAGACAGACCTCTCTGGAAGCATAGAAAATTTAGTTGAAATGAACAATGATAATTCCTACATGCAAAGTAATGCATGCCGGCCCTATATACCAAGGGTGGCAGGTTCAAACCCGGCTCTGGCCAAACTGTAACAAAAAAATAACTGGGCATTGTGGCAGGCGCCTGTAGTCCCAGCCACTCAGGAGGCTAAGGCAAGAGAATCGCCTAAGCCCAGGAGCTGAAGATTGCTGTGAGCTGTGACACCACAACCCTTTACCAAGGACGACAAAATAAGACTCTGTCTCTAAAAAAAAAAAAAAAAAAAAAACCTATTGGTCATGACTATACTTCATAACAATATATTCTTGAAAATCATGGAGAGAATAGACTTTAAGTGTTCTCACCACAAAAAATACATATGTGAGGTAATGTATATGTTAATTAGCTTTACTGAGCTACTCGACAATATAGACATATTGCAAAATATCACCGTGTTCAAAATAAATGATTATCACTTGGCAATTTGCAAAATAAATTAAGAAAACAGCTGGGTATGGTGACTTACACCTGTAATCCTAACACTATGGGAGGTTGAGGTGGGTGAACTGCTTGGAGTTTTAGACCAGCCTGAACAAGAACAAGACCCCACCTCTACTAAAAATAGAAAAAACTTGCCAGGCCTGTAGTCCCAACTATTCAGGAGGCTAAGGCAACAGGATTGAGCCCAGGAATTAGAGGCTATGAGGTATGGTGACCCCATGGCACTCTACCCAGGGCAACAGGGTGAGATTTGATCTCAAAAAAAGAAAACAGGCTCGGCGCCTGTGGCTCAAGCGGCTAAGGCGCCAGCCACATACACCTAAGGTGGCAGGTTCGAATCCCCAGCCCGGGCCCGCCAAACAACAA